CTCGTACGCACAACTTAAGAACAAATCTGTGCGTACGAACGGTTCTTGCATGAGGCCCAATGTTTCTGTTTCTTGGAGGTTTTGAAGTGATGATTTTTATTTTATTTTAATTATGTATGTAATTTTTGCTTGTCACTGCTACCTTCAACAAATTAATTATTATTTGAACTCAATTTACCCAACCATCAGAAAACACAGGAACAAGTGATTTTAAAAACAGCCGTTTGATCCAGCTTTATTAATTTGTGTTTGCGATTGAGAAAAAATATTAAAGATGTTATTTAAAAATGCTTTTGGAAGTTATTGCGATACTGAGCTCAGATGTAAATTTAAAACCCTGGAAAAAGACATTTGAACGTCTGTTGGCTGCACGGAGACGCAGTTTTATGGTTTATTCACTTTTCATGTTAAATTAAAATATAAAAACTGACGGTTCATAAAATTTTCTCTGCACTTTAGCAAGCTGACGACATTTTTATATTTCTTTGGATTTTTATGGCTCTGTAGTAAAAACAACATACTGGACAAGTATAAATTAATATCTGCACAATGGTTTATCAAGAAGACAGCAGATTTTTATAGTATTTATGAGGATGTTTTGTTTGTTTTTCTAACATATGTTGTCCCATGATGGCTCATTAGATCAGTGGAGCCATAATATGATGGCTTCTGGTGCTGTCTTTGGTTGATTTTTTATTTTTATTTGTTTTTCTCTAACAAAGACTCAACTCTTCACTGAATGTCGGTTTAAGCAGTCATATTTTTTCCATCTCTGAAGCAGATATTGTCAGATGATCTCTAACCTAAACAGTAACTCCTGCCAGGTTCTTCCTTTCGCCCTCCAGACATCGAGTGGTTTGAAGCGCTTCTTGTGCAAAACTGTAAATTCCCTCTAGCTTCAGTGGTGCTGCTCTGAAGCAATGATTTCTCTAAATTATTCATAAAATTCATGTTCCGTTTTAACTGTGTGCCTTCATCAGACGAGCGCGAGGCGGTGCAGAAGAAGACCTTTACGAAATGGGTCAACTCGATCCTTTCCCGAGTCGGCTGTCGGATCTCTGATCTCTACCTGGACCTGCGCGATGGACGCATGCTCATCAAACTGCTGGAGGTGTTGTCAGGAGAACGTCTGGTATGCTTCTGAGATGTCCCAACTCGTTTTTTTGTTCTGTTTTATACTTCTTGGATCACTCTTCTTTTAAAGATTCTTGTCTTTTTGTGAGTTTTTTTGTTTTTCACTCTTGCTTCCTCTGTAGCCAAAACCCACTAAAGGCCGAATGCGTATCCACTGTTTGGAAAATGTGGACAAGGCCCTGCAGTTTCTCAAAGAGCAGAGGGTTCATCTGGAGAACATGGGCTCCCACGACATTGTTGACGGCAACCATCGCCTCATCCTCGGACTCATATGGACCATCATCCTGCGTTTCCAGGTAAAAGTCTGCGGACTTATATTTGTCTTTTTGCATCAGTGAAACAAAAAGCAGCAAAGCTCAGTTACATAAACTACTACTGTTAACTGTTGACCTACTTCATTCTAATGTGACCCATTTAAGTACACACAAGACAGTTAAATAACTATTTTATCAGTTTCTTACAGAGCTTTATGTCAAAGCGTTCAACATAACTTTAGATTTCCTGCCTCCCTCTCCTTTTTAAGCATTTCCAGGAAATTAAATTGTGGCGTTCTTTGAATGAATGCTGTTGCCTTACATGCTGAAGTTTTAACCAAACATGTTGCACATTCTGTTATCACTCAGAATATGTGTTGGGATGAATTTCAGCCATAACCACACCACCAAAGTTTATCTCAATGTTTGTAAAAATGACTGAGTGGGTTTTTGGCATTAGCTCAGGTTGATTAGCAGTGGCAGCCATCTTTAATCAGGTTGATTAAAATAAGTAACCAGTCATAGATGTGCTTATAGTGATTATAGTGATTATTAGTTTCAGTAAAATCCCTCCAGTGCTTCATGAGTTATTTTGCTGACAGAGTTGACTTCAGTATTTAATGGTAAGAGATCTTGTTTGATCAATTTGCACTTATTGTATGATTTGGACTTTCAGTTACTGCCACACCAAAATTAAGCTCATTAGCTCCTAGATGGACTAAGTTATGGCCATTTGTGTGGTTGCTGAAACACAAACTCCTTTTAATGCAATAAAAAACCTTTAATGCTATAATTAGGTTTGCTACAAAAAAATGAACAAAAGAGCAAAAGTCTTTTGTATGCTCTTACTGAAAATCTGCAATAGTGTTGAAAAATACTGTATACATGTTTTAACATAAAGGAGTCTTATTTGATAATAAACATGCATTTTTAGTGTTCTATACAATTTAAAAGTTAGTAATAAATATTATTTTGCATTTCAGCAAATAAGAAGGTTGCTTACTATTTTCATACTTGATCTTTAAATGTACAGTGTACTTCATAATTACAATTCCTTTTATGTCTCTTATATAATTAGATTTTTTGCTGCTCAGGCAGCTGAAACTCGAGAGATAAAGTGGTTAGCATTTGATTGAAAAGCTGCTGATTCAATCCCTAACCTCCTTGGTTTACATTTTGATCTGTCTTTGGGAACGGTAAGAAACATATGGTGCTAAGCTGTCCCTGACATCACGACTTCCCAGTACAAGAATTATTCATTATGGTGCATCATTTTCCCCCTTAGTCATAGATTTCCATGTCCCCACTAAGAATGTTCCATTATAGGAAACAATAACAGTTGTGAATTTGAGTTAATTTGGTTTAAGTTTAGGGGGACCACAGTGAGGTTATAATTCTCCGCAAATTTAAGTTTGCTATTTTCCTTAATGGTGGCAGACCAGTGGTGTATAGGAACCTCAGATAGCTGATAGCTGTTACCTCTCAACCAAAAGGTTGCCAGATTGAATCTAATATACTATCAGTATATTAGCTTTAGTTCCCCTAAAGCACTAATAGGGGAACTAAATTTACCGATTAGTGCTTTAGGGCTTTTGCTAATTTTGAAATTTATTAATGAATTAGCACTTGCTAAATTTATAGGCAAAATTTAGGAGCACTAACTGAGGTCTATAAATTTTATTGATTACGTTAATGTTAACAGCTGAGGGTGAAAGCTGTCACATTTTGTTCATATATGTGCACTCATCCACCAGGTGACAATATATTGACAATATATGAGCTCAAATACAGCTGTGGAAGGTCAATGATAAGTCTTAAGAGAGCAACATGTGACTCATGTTTTCTTCTCAACAGTGTTCATGGATTGACTGGGTTATTTTAGTGCTTTAGAATTAGCTTTTGCTAAATTTTTCAGTGTGTTAGTGCTTTAGATTTAGGGGACCTAAATATTTGAGTTAATGCTTTAGGGCTAGTGTAACTAATTTTTAGATTAGTGCTGCTCACCACTGTGTACTGTATTATGTATACTAGAAAAATGTTGACCATTTAATGTAAAATATGTCACTGATAATCTATTTGTTTTCTCCAGGCATAGCTGAAACATCTTTAGTTGAAGTCCTCATATTTCTAGATGGATTGAATATTGATATCCCCTTTCATGCCTAAATCTTAAACCCAAGTTCATCCTGTGTTGAGCATTAACAGAGTTGTAGCCATTTTGTTCAAACCTTACAAATGATATAATGGTGCAGTGTTGCGAGATCTAAAGTATGTTTTGTTAATGACTCTCAGTTATTAGCTTATTAAATTGTAGCTCAGTGCTAATCAAGTTATAACCAGTTTTGTGTTTTCTAAGCTGGAGGCTGCCTTTGGATCAGGTTGAGTCTAAAAATAATTAATTGTTGAGGCACGTCCAGCTTGATAACAGAACAAACACACCCAGTTGCTCATATTTTACCTTCAACATTCGTTAGGCCAGATACTTTAAATTTTAACATTTTTCAACCTGCAGCTTTGTTACAGTAAATGGGTTTTAGATTGTTCATTGTTTAGTTTCAGGCAGGTAACACTCAGGAACAGTTTAGACTTGCAGCTTTAGGGTGTTTTTGTTTTGTTCTTCCTTGAAACGGTGCCTTCAGGCTCCTGTGGTTATCATCTGCTGTTAGAAGCACATCAAACATGTCTGTTTGACTCTTGAAGAGGCCATATATTTATTTTTAATTTGACAGCACTAGGATATTTTTAGACATGACGGTTCAAACAATAAAGCCTGCTGCATTATTCAGTCTTCTCAAAACAGGAAAAAAGGAGAGAAGTTTGCTTGTCCTCTTTGCAGTCTGTATTAACCAAGGAGAACCAAAGCTGCTTAAATTTAGCTCCTTCTCTCTCAGGACTTGTCTTTCATATCACATCACTGCTCTAATTACTGTCCCACTGTGTGGAAAAAAACGAATTTCAGTCATTATCACCTATTTTTTTGTCACTTGGATTCATTATTGAGTTGTGTGACTAATACCATTAAATGATACATCACTTGAGATTACTGTTGTTTAACACAAATGGGAAACAATGAAATTAAAATGCCAAAATTTCCCATCTGAAGTGAGTTGATTCTGTTTTTTTATTAGTGTTGAGCATAAACATTGAAGCATCCATATCTTCCTGTAAAAACATTTGTCCTGTGAATTAAAACATGCGAAACGTACAGTTTAACAAACAGCCTGGGGGGGCGGCTGTGGTGTAGTCTTAGAACGGCAGATTTGGGACCAGAAAGTCACAGGTTCAACTCCCTGCCATGCCCACATGTCGTGGTGTCCTTGAGCAAGACACCCAACCCCCAACTGCTCCCCAGGCAGCTCACATAGCTGCTCGCTGCTCCACCTGGGTGTTTCTCACATGTGATGGGTCAAATGTAGAGCACAAATAAAGTACCTTTTAATCAGGAGAACAATGCTATGACTTCTGGTAGCAATATGTTACACAACACAGACAAAAACAGCAAAAAAAAGACATTGAAAGAAAAATATAATGGAGATCAATGGGATTTTGGCAAAACGCCGTTGCAAACCCAGCCCTCTTCAGAGACCTAAAGCTCAAACAGACTACTACATTAGGAACACCTTTCACATTTTAAGCAGGTCACATACAGGCCTTTACATGTCTGAATGAGCATTTTGACATTCTTCAAGTTTTTACACAGTCACTGTTTTTTTTAATTTAGTTGATTTCACTATAGGGTTCTTAACATTTTTGACCTCGGAGCCAAATTTGTTGAACATAAAGTGTCACGAGGCCCAGTCAGACATTACCAATGTATGGATGAAAATGATAATTATTCTAAATCTTGGTTTCATTTTTATTGTATTTACATCATAACTAAACTATCATAACTAACATAACTAAATTAAATACACTTACAG